GCACATCCATCTAATCACTGGCAACGTTAGGAGCAAACATTCCTGTTTCAAATTCCCACTCTGTATGCTACCCCACACTAAGTTACACAAACTCCAGCCCATATCTGATATAATAGGCATCAAGAAAAATTGAGCATGGGGGCTTTTGAATTATACCCTCTGACTTAACACAAGCTTCCAGCATTTCTTTGTGATACGACTTTGTATCACTTAACTGATCAATCTGTGACTTACGCTTCTTCATTTATAAAATGGAGTTAATAACAGAGCCCAGATCACAAGGCAATTGTGAAGACTAAATAATATACATGAAGCTTTGAAAAAGAGATTGACACTTTAAAGTGCTCAAAATATATCACCATCATTACTGATACTGACAAAATCAACTTCTGATCCATCTTTTCCCCCCATTCACATCCTTTCTCTACTGCAAGTTCCTAGAACAGAGATAGATCCATCTTTTCCCCTGTATTCACATCCTTTCTCTACTGCAAGTTCCTAGAACAGAGATATTCTCACCCAACATCCGGCTGACCCATTTGCTTGCCCTGTATCTCTCTCACATGAGCTGAAGACAGGCCAGGCTTTCCTACCATGACAATTTTCTGGACCAAGAAATTTATGCACTTAAATTCCCCAATCTTTCAGCCTGGGGGCTGCCTGCCAGGAGCTTCCTGCAACTTCCCGTAGCCTGAACTCTACGAGTCTGGGTTTGCCTTGTTAAACTGTGGTGTAGGCTGGGATTCCTCAGGCCTGAGAGCTATGCTGGGACCAAGACATTTGTGGCCTACCCTGGCTTGCGTATCCGTCCAGATTTGCTGTCACTAAGAAAATGTGCGTGTCTATTTACAAACACTTAAGCGTGGATGGGACTTGCCCAAGTCAAACTCCAAAAATTCATACATACATTCTGCTATTGGTGGGGAGGGGGAGGAATAGTAATCAGAAAGCCATTTCTTATGTAGATTTTTCCAGAATAACCTTATCTTAAAATCACCAACACAACTGTATGAAAAACTATCATACACACATTAATGTGTATACTGACACGGATTTATTTTTACTGCTAATCTATTTTTCTCCTTAATTAGAATTCTTTCTCTCCTAATTTTCTTAGTTCAAAGTTGCTTAGAGCTCATTCTAGACCCTTGCTCCTCAAAGTAGTCCGATGACCAGTAGGACCAGCTCCACCTGAGAGCTCCCTAGACCTACCCCAGCTCTATGAAATCAGAACCTGCTCTGATTCTGATGCACCTTGAAGCCTGAAAAACAATGAGGAAGGCCAGTGCCTCTCAGACATCAGAGAGCTACGCAATCACCTAGAGCCCGTGTTGAAACACAGACTCCTGGACCAGCCCCTGGGTTGGGGAGAGACTCCAGTCCAGCAGATCGGGGAGAGACCCGAGCTCCGCGTTCCTAACAAGCTCCCAGCCTCTGCTGGTCGGGGAACCACACCTGGAGGAGTGAGAACCAGTACTAACCAAACAGCCCAATTTCTTATCAATCATGTCCAAATCAAGGCCGGTCCCCGTCTCTCAGTTTCCTCCCCAGAGCACTTTCTGGTGTGTGATCCTGCATTCCACTGAATTCTCAGTCTTTTTTCTTACTTTTGCATGAATTCCACATTCTCTCCTCCACCATATGACCTGCAGCACTCGCTTCAATTTCCAATGGACAGTTCCGTCCCCTTCACCCATTTCAAGGCTCTCTCGCATCTGACTGTTTAAAATCTTGGCAGAGGACTTGTTGCTCAAATGGCATTTATTGCATGAGCACTCTTCTCATCCATTTCTCTGTTGTAAGGTCCCCTGTTTGAGCCCCGTGCCCCGGCAGTCACTGCCTTTCTCAGAATCAGCTCTGTTGTCTCTACTTCTGGCCTCTGTCCCCCAGTCTCTTCCCACCTTTTCCTCCTAATGCATCTCCCCTTTTTGGCACCAGCCACAGGAACAGCTGTTTTTCCTGTACTTTACCTCCAAGCTACCCAGTCCCCCAGTAAACATGAAGTGGTGAGTGGAAGAGAGGGGGGAAAAAACTTGACTTTGAGGAAAGTAGTTAAGGAGTCTGAGGAAAGTAAACAAAAGCAAGAGCTGAGACATTAGATGAGTCAAAACTAAAGAGTGCCCCACCTAGACCGAAATTCTGTATGTCCTATAAGAACTATAGAAATAGTGTGGTTAGGAAATACATAGAGTTTAAGTTAAACCAAAAAAGGCAGAATTTTAAAATCCTTTGATTTCGTTTGGGTGCAGCTCCAAAAGTGACCGAGAGGCTCTAATTGATGAAGCCAGTGCCTCCTTCCCCGCTCAGAGTTCTGTGTTGCCACCTCTAAAAACTTGAGCCCCTTCCCAAAGTAGTATGAGTAGAGTTGCCATATTTAACAACTAGAAATACAAGACAACCAGTAGAATTTGAATTCTAGCTAACCAATGAATAAGTTTTACTCTAATAATGTCCCTATAAGTATTTATAAAGTTGTACTACAGGTCTTTGGGCATATTTATACTAGAAAATTACTTGTGTTTTATTTGAAATTCAAATGTCATGTAATTTCAGAAAAATCAAAGTCATGAAAAATTTTACCTGGGACAAAAACAGGCAAGTCAATAGAGTAGGAGAAGATATTTCAAATAAATATATCTGGCAAAGCACTGATATCTAGAACATATAAAGAATGCTGCCAATCAATAGAAAATAGACAACATGATTTTTTTAAATGGGAAAATTACTGAAGTGTTCATTTCTCAAAAGAGGATATCTAAGTAGACAGGTCAAAAGGTGCTTAATTTCACTTGTTCATCAGGGAAATAAAAATTGAACACTCCCCCATGAGATTCCATGTACACTCCCAGAAAGGACGGTATATATCAAGTGTTGGTGAGGAACTGGAGCAAGTAGAACCTTCATTCCCTGCTAGTGAGAGTAAAAGTCTGTGTAGCCATGCTAGACAACCCTCCGGCCGCATGATTGAAACTGAACACACACACCCTATGATCCAGCCATTCTACCCCAAGCAGATATGTGTGCATTTGCTCACCAAAGACACGTTCACAAATATTCATAGATCATTAATCATAATAGCCAAAACTAAAAATCATATCAGCAATAAAATAGGCAAACAAATTATGAAATATTTAAACAAAAATATACTATTTAGCACTGAGAATGAGCAATCTAAAACAAGATGCTACAGTGTGAATAAATCTTATAAGAAATAATTTAGTACAAGTGCCTGACTTAGACACAGAAAAGCACATACTCTATGATTCATTTATATGAAGTTTCAAAAACAGGAAAAACTGGTCTTTTGTGCTAAAATCAGAATAATGGCTATCCTTGGCGATGGCGACTGGGTGGGGCCATGGGAACTTCGGGGCTGGCCACAGGCTGTTTCTTGATTTGAGTGCCTGTTTGTAATTGCTTTGTGAAAGTCATCAGATGGTATCTTTTGCCAACTATGTTATATTTCAATGAGATTTACATTAAAACCTTGGTAGATCAAAAGAAGTTACCAAGGCAAAGACGCCTACCCTCTAATCCCAATCACGTTTATGTATCAGGAATCAATGTCATTACCATCATGGCCATGATTGCCATAACCATTACAAGAGAATCTTCCATGGGCTAAACAAATTCTAGATATTTTGTTTACACTGCCTCACTTGACCTTTTAATCCTCACAAGACGCTATGAGGCAGCTATTATTTTCCTACTTTTACAGATGAAGGAACGGCGATGGAAGGAGCATAGGTAGCTTGAACAACTGAACAATTTCTAAGTGGCAGAGCCAAGTTTTGAAACCAGGACCTGATTCTGAAGCAGGTAACCTTTTCTCTGCAGGACTAAGTCTACAGGTAGAGGCTGGAAATTCCAGAAGGGAAGAAGTTGAAATTTCTTCTCTACCACTGACTTTCTGAGTCCTGAAATAGCACAAAAATCCCAAATTTCAGTCCCCCTTCATGCTAAGAAATATCTATCCGAATCCTGGATTTAATTCAATTATGTAAAGTTAATTGATAATTCCTACAATCAATTCTCAGCTGAACAAGGAAGGAAAAGTAAATTCCCTTTTAGTATCCCAGTTATCTCCATTACAAAGTATGGAAACAAAACAAAAAAATCTGACTTTAAGCTCAAGCAATAAATCCGCCTTTATAGTCCCAACAAACACACCCACTTCACAAGGTTGAGTTCACATGTCCATAATGCAAGTTCTTCTCACCAGCGCTTCTTAAACTTTAGGGTACGTAAGCAAGAATCGTCTGGAGAGCTTGTTTGGACAGATTTCTGGGCCCCATCCCAGGAGACTGATTCAGTGGGTGTGAGGAGAGCCTGAGAATTTGCATTCCTAACAAGGCCCCAGGTGATACTGATGCTATTGTCCTGGGACCACACTTTGGAGTAAGACTGCTTCATGCCAGGATACAGTGTGGATGAGATGCCCACAACTGCTTTGTTTGGGGATTGAGTCTTCTTTGTTGCTAATGTTCACAGCTACCACCTCAGGCTAGGTCCATGTGGCAGAGAGCAACTGGCCTCCCTTCCTTACACCCAACCTCTGCCTTAACTATCATCAGTGTCACTGTCGGCCATTCCGTCTGTCACAATGAAATGATTGGCCACAAGCCTTCCCCAGAGCCTTGGCTCTGCCTGTCCTTTGCTCTCCTCTCAATTTCAAGGCCTCCAGGATACACATTTCTCGCACCATAGGCATGTTTGCTGCATTTTGAGTTGCTTTGTGCAGAGGCTAAAAACTAATAATTTTTAATTTAAAAAAATTTCAGATCTGTAGGAACTAAAGCCATGTTTTGGAATTGCTTTGTTAATTTTTCTCTACCTTTTGTCCTAATCTGGATGTTTTGAGAAAAGAACAAACTCACTTCACTGTGCTGCAGGCGAAGGGTTTGTGGGGTCCTGAAGCAGTCCTCAGTGCTTCTCTTCCCTGCTCTTCTTCAGAAAGCCCAAGGAGGCTTTTCTCCACCGGCGCTCAGCTCCAACACTCTACCAGTCTCAAGAGTTTCCAGGTATTCTTGTTAAAACACCAGCTCTGTTGAAGAATGTGTATCATCAGTTTCCTTATGTCAAGGAGTCAATCACATCAAAACCTAGAAATCTTTGGGCTACAGTGAGCAATACTTTGCCTCTGCTTTAATATCCCACAGCCAGTTAAAAATTCAAGGTATTATATGGGGGCTGCAGGTGAGGAATGCCTAAACCCTTGATCTTGCGACTAGTTGACTGTCACTCCTGGGAAGGCCACTTAACCTCCCTTCGTTTTCAGTTGTAGAGCAGAGACTGTTTTAAGTGATCCCCAAGGTCCTTCCTTCCCCACAAGTCTGCAAACCCATGAACCTACAGAGAAGAACCAAAGAAAACACCCTTCTTTCCAACTTACTCTTGGCACAAGCGGCAGTTTTACTTTAGGGAAATAGACTGCCATGATGCATGGGCCACAGGGAGACCTCGAGCAAATCACAGGGCAGGGAAACAGAAGTCAAAGCTAGAAAAGGTAGGGGCAATGCACATCGCAGGAGAGAGCATTGCGTCTCTTTTTCTTCCTTTGAAGTCAATAGAGAAAAGAGCAACAAAATCCAACAATGTCAATCAGGAAGCACTTAGTCTGTTTTCAGATTCTGCTGCTACAGTAGCAAATGAAAGCAGCCAGCTTCTTCCCAGGGGCTCCTGGGTAGGGAGCATCCATCAAATCACAGAGACACACCCGCTATTCAAACTCAATTTGGCTAAAATGACTTTTTTATGAGAACTCATGAGAAAATGGTTGACTTCCAGCCCCTATGTTATCAGGGTTGTTTGACATTGAATTACATGGGCCTAGACTATAAATCTTGACTTCAGCCTCACATGCAAGGCATTTGATGTGTCTGGGAACCTGCTGTAAGAAAGAAATTAGCTGTAAAACAAAGTAAAATGCCTGTTCCCATGGGAAGACTCAGCAGGACTGCTAATAGATCATGTGTTCATTTGGAAGACACTTGTTCCTTTGGTCAAACAGCAACTAATATTTTTGCTTTCCACTGCCTTGAACAGGAAATATGGTGCTAAGGGCCGATGGACAGGGCAAGGCATCGTGTTAATTACACGGTCAGTAAACACTTGCTTGCCCGTGTTTCCTAACAGTCTGACCGCTTCCTGGTTGGAGATCAGGGAGGCAGCCGGCCTCTGGTAACATTTTTACTCCTGTTCAAATGTCAGGGAAAATGGAGTGCATTTGCAGGGAGCCCCAGAACGAGAGGAGGATTGGGGCTCAGGGGACCTGGGACTGTTGAGAGCAGCCCCTGTGCCCCAGTGGCCACAGCCCACTGCCCCCACAAGGACAGTGTGTCTGGGAACCCAGAGGAGTGACTCTTAAATATGGTGATTTGATTGCATTTTGAAATTCTCTTTCCACTTTGGCAAATGGACATGAAACAGGGGTTCCGGTTTATTTTAAAGAAGACGAAAAGCAAAGCATTCTGGGAAAGATAGATAAGTGGGAATCATGTCAAAACACCTGCCGCCTGAACACCTCCACTTGGAAATCTCTTCTCTGGGGTAACTGCAAAGGAGGTACCAAAAGCAGGACCACCCAAAGCTTATCTTTAAAGCTGTTCTCAAGATGTGACCTTGAAACCTGCACCCCACGCCCGCCCTGGGAGAGTGTGAGAAATGCAGAACCTCAGGCCCCACCACACACCAGTTCAGTCAGAGACCCTCGGGGTGGGGCCAGAAATGTGAGTCGTAACAAATTCTTCAGGTGGCCCTGATGCCACTGATGTCTGAGGATTCAAGGCTGTGATAAAAGTTGCAATGAAAGGATTCTCATATATTTTCTGTACAGATGCCATCTGAGCCCAGGACCCACCCTGCAAGCTCCAGTCACCTACACACTTCTGGAGGCCTGGTTTCTTTCCTCTGAAAGGGCTTTGCCAAGAACCTTCTCATGCCTGGCCCCTTAGCTCACTCAGCTTCCTGTTCAAATGTCACACTTTTTATAAAGTAGTCCCCCACCACAGGCATCCCTTTAAGGACCTGCCAACAGATACTGTCTAATGTTGTCCTGGTAGCAACTTTCCAAGACAGGAGATGACTGTGTCTATGAGCCTGTTTCTAAGTTTATGGTCCATTCTCCCTGATAAAAATATAAAGCACCATTAGGACAGGCACCAGGTTCTTAACGCCACTGTTCCAATATGTGCCCCCAAGCTTCTACAAAGCCTAGTGTTCAAGTCCTCTACTCTCACCCCATCTCAAAACTTATTCTCAGTCATATTATGCCTCAATAAAGCTGGGGTGATGGGGGAACCAATTCTTATTCACATAAGTTACAAACCAAACAAATGAAGAGGAGACAGGATATTTACATTAAGAAAAATGGAAAACAATTCGAATTTTAGGCATTGTTCAATAAGTACCATGTAGTCTTTTAGATGCTGGGGAAGGGTCGAACGGGGCCCCTGAAATAGCACCCCTTGGGCATCTATCTAAAGAAGGGCTGGCAATGTTTTCCAATAGAGGAGCTCTGATGTAGATGTAGCCTATTACGGAAAAATTTTTTTCTTTCCCATAAGCAGACGACTGCTTTTCCTCTAAGAAATTTTATCTGTTATGAGCTAATAAGACTGTCAAAATCAAAATTCAGTGCCTAAGCTAACTTACTCTGTAGCTAATTGTGGTCTATCTCTGTATATTTTTTCTCTCTCCTTAATTTTTACATTTTTAATTTTTCCCCATTATAGTTGACATACAATATTACATTAGTTTCAAGTGTAGAACATAGTGATTAGACATTTATATACCTTACAAAGTGATCATCCCAATAAGTCTAGTATCCACCTGACACCATACATAGTTGTTAGAATATTATTGGCTATATTTCCTGTGCTGTACTTTATATCCCCATGACTATTTTTAGAACTGGTAATTTGTACTTTTAAATCTCTTTCACTTTTTTCACTCATCCCTACATCCCCTTCTGAAAATGTATATGCACCCCTATGTTCTTGGCAGCATTGTTTCCAACATCCAAGATACAGAAGCCATCTCTCTCCATATTTTATCTCCATATCTTTTTCAAAGCTCAGCTTAGAGGCAGAAACATGAATGTGAAGAGCGTGCATGGACCTTGCAGATCCAGAAGCTTGTGCACAACGTAGCAGGTTATTTTATTGGTCTTTCAACAAAAGATGCTCGAATGGCATTATTTTTGCCTCCGTAACGGCTCAAATGCTTCCGAGAGGCATTAGAGTAACTGACTGCCCGCAGAGATGGGAGACTCGCGCGGATGACAGTGCACTCAGAGGGACGCAGACGAGGCCCGCGGTTGCTCCATTACTCTGTCATTGGAGATATCAGCGCTGGGCTGCGCGCTGAGCATTAGCCCATGTAGCCTGATATGAGTTCATGGGGCTGGAATTCAAAACACTAAGCAGCTGTGGGAACCCAGTGAGAAGCCTGTCACACTGAATGGTATCCAGATTAGAGCTGTGAGAATTTGGGAAAACCCTTCTTGCTAAGTAAGTCGACTCCTTCGTCTTTTCTCTTTTTCAAATCTGCAGTGTCGACAAGAACCTTGATTCCATAGCTACGCATATAAACAATTAAAAAAGACAACGCTAAAAATATTTTTGAGGCAATCAGGGAAATTGTAATACTGACTGGATCTTTGATGGCCTTTTAGTTACAATTTTTAGGTGTGATAACAGCATTAGTATTTTGTAGCAAAATATTTGTAATTCTTTAGAGATGTGCACTGAGGAATGTAGGAGTAGAATGAAATGACATCTGGAATTTGCTTTAAGATACTTGGGGGCGGGGCTGTGAGGGAAAGAAAAAGATGAAATGAAGTATCGATACGCAAACCCTCAGTAATTGTTGAATCTGGGCTGGGTTAAGGAGGATTATTAACATACCCTCTTTCCTCGTAAAAGTATGTTTGAAAATAAACACAAAAAGGGTTTATTATAAAAAGGGAAAAACAAATGATGCCAGACCAAAGGGAAAGTTATTCCTTAAGTAACATAAAAATATCTTTTTAGTTTAAGATTTTCTCAAGGCCCACCCACTGTCAAATAAATAGTCTATACGTCAAAAAGTGATCAAGTCAGGCTCTCAGGTGCTCAGGTCGTAAGAACAGCTTTCAGCGATGTGTACATTGGGAGGAGCAGGCAGAAGCTTAAGTAAGTGGACCAGAAACTGGAAACAGCCCATTCCTTTATTTGGTACCTGACTGTAAGTAACTGTTCCTAGCAGTGGCCATGATGCGAGGAGACCAAGACAGAGATTTGGGGGTCCCAAGTGCTATAGGATTTTTTTCTCATTAGTCCCTGTGTGACTTTCAGTTCGCACCCCTATGCTTTCATTTTCTCATCTACAAAATCACAGGGTTGCATGATATGAAAGCAAAGGTTTCTTTCAGGCCTTGAAGTACAAATTCCAGATTACTTTAGCGAATCTGCTTCAGCAACACAGGAGATAAAAAAGGGTCAAGTTCTGGGTATGAATTGGCAACTCAGGAGACAGTAAATTTATTAAGCCCCTATTGAATTCTCAACACAAGACACCCAAGTGTAGCAACCTTTGCTCTTCAGAAAATCTAATTGGCAAATGAAGTAATATGAAAACAAACAGATTTTTAAAAAGGGTCTTAGCCACAACATAATTATATTAGGGGGGAAAATGCCTACTCAACTATTTTATGCATTTGTTTTCCTAACACAGAAAAGCATAAATATAAACGACTCTTACTTACACATCAAGGAAGTTCTAAAATAATTTTTATTCCCTTCACAATTATTGAAACCATGTACTTCCAGTGAAATTAAACTGTTTGAAGTGGGAGGGTTGGGAAGGCAGAGCTGGGTTTACAAGACCACCCAAACCATTCATTTGCTTATATTCTTTTCTGGAAAGTTTAGCAAGTGTTACAAATAGAGAACTGATTTCAGAAAGATACCCTACCATGGGGCAGCATTTGATGCAAAGCTCGAGTCCATTTTATTCTGGGGTTTTGCTTTCTACACCTTGGTGTCCTCTGATTTCTTCCATTTC